TTGTCAGCATCTTTCTTCAAACCTGGTATCCAGAACTGGACATAGTACTCTAAATGAGGCCTTACCAGTGCCAAATAGAGGGGAACTAGTACTTCACAGGATCTGTTACTGCATCCTAAAATAGCATTTGCTTTTTTTGCAGCTGCATTGCATTGCTGGCTCCTATTCAGCTTCTGATCTACAACAATGCCAAGATCCTGCTCACTCGTAGTAATACTGAGCCAAGTGTCCCCGATCCTGTAACTGTGCATTTAAGTGTGCTTTTGCCCCCTAGGTGTAGAACTTGGCACGTATCCCTGTTCAATTTCATTCTGCTGTTTTCAACCCAGTGTTCAAGCGTATCAAGATCTCTCTGAATTTTGATTCTGTTTTCCAAGGCGTTCGCTATTCCCAGTTCTGTGTCATCCACAAATCTGATAAGCATTCCTTGTCCGTCCTCAGCCAGGTGATTGATAAAAATGAGGAAGAGCACTTCCAAATAATGAGTAATACCAAGCCATTGTTGGTAATAACAATGCAATGTGTTTGTAGTGCACAATGCAGTGGATTACCTAAGTGGCTAGAGCACTGGTAACAGCAACGGCATCCTATTTGCCAGGAAGTAATGAACTGAATGAGTTCCTTAAAAGGTAATGTCCTGGGCTAATGTCTAGCATGCCTCCACATTTGTTGCCCTCTATGTGAAAAGTATGCCTACACTGCTAAGTGACGCCCACCAGGTGCTCCCTCCACCCTGGGGAGTCCTGGGATATGGAGAGGGATCTCAATGTCCCAAATGGGCTTGCTTACACCAGCCTTCAGAGGCCCTGCCCACCAGGTGCCCCTTTCAGCATCGCAGCTCCCTCCACCCTGGGGAATCCCAGGATATGGAGAGGGATCTCAATGTCCCAAGCGGGCTTGCTTACACCAGCCTTCAGAGGCCCATCTGGACCATCAGTGTGATCTGTTGCACATACACACACCCCGTGCTTCCTTCACCGCTGTAGGAAACTGACAGTGGTGTGGTGTGACCAGATGAATAGGGGTCAGCGTTCCTAGATCTTTAATTGAGGTGTGGATGCACCCACCTGCGAGTGCAGCATGCCCACCCGCGAGCACGACACGCTCACCGTGCATGCGTGCAGGGTGCCGGAGTTTCGTGTCTGCAGCCCAGTTCAAGGAAGCCCACGGACCGGCACCGGGCCGCGGACCGGGGGCTGGGGACCCCTTAGCTAGAACAGCTGGTTGTGTTCCATGTCCAAGAGCAGGTGTGTTGAAAAAATGGTGTAGTGAAGTCATGGCTTGCAGGGCTGAAACCCCACAAGTTTCTGAGTCGGAACAACTAGGACATCAACCCCCCACAGGCCCCAATTTCCCTATTCTCTCTGCGCCTGTCTGTGATTTTCACAGGAGCTGGATGGGAAACACATGTTTCCAAGAATAAGATATGGTTGCAACCTAACTCTGCTATAATGCAAAGTATTTTGGAGGTGATTTACTACTGAACAGGCTATGAAGAGCTGGAACCCTGAAGAAAATAGCAATGTGCCTCAGGGCACCGAAACATGCCTTCTAAATATAACTTTACCTACCTCCGGGGACCTATTTTTGGCCAGAAAGAGCCCTTTTTCAGGAACAAAAATCAACTGTGTGGCCTGTGAGGTTCGTTTTGTCCGTGTCTGTGCCAAAGCCACAAGAAGATATCTTGGGCTTTCTCATGAAGTCCCTTCACCCCTAAGATTGTATTTCTTTTCTAAGAATCTGGCCCTCATCGGACTGCTCTCTTGAGTAAAGTCTGCAGGACGTGCCATGGCTGATTGCACCTCATTGACAAGACAGGTCCAGATCACGCCCCCCCCCCCCGAGACACCCCTGACTGCACAGCCCAGGTCTACCCATGGATGTCCTCAGGGAGTTGTGACCAGTTTACACAAACCTTCCACAAACACTGGTAGGATTCTGGCCTTCAAAGGTCAGCTCAGTTCTAAGGCCCAGGAGCAAAGCTTTAAGGATTTCCCCATCAGCCTTTTCCAGCCTGAGGACTTTTGCACCTCTTCGATGACAACTCCCGTGATTCTTAGCTGGAGGGTATAGGAACTTTAATAGCTGGGGGGGGGGGACCAGGTTGGAGAAGGGCTGCCTCAGTTCGTCGTCATTGCTGAGGTCTCAAAACTGCAAATAGGAGAAATGTGCAGGTCTGTGGTTTCTTGGACTACAAGCTGAAGATGAGCCCACAGTGTGATGCTGCTGCAAAAAAGGCAAAGGCTGTTTTAGGCTACGTTAGGAAAAAAAGGATAGTCTCCAAATCCCATGAGGTACTAGTTCCCCTCTATTTGGCAGCAGTTAGGCCTCACTTTGGCTATTGTGTCCCGTTCTGGACACCGCACCTCAAGACAGATGTTGACAAATTGGAAGAAATTCAGTAGAGGGCACGAAGGATGATCAGGAGGAAGGACAGAAAGATCGTGGCATGTTGAGCCTTGAGAAAAAGAAGGCTGAGGGGAGATGGGATAGCACTTTTCAAATAGTTGAAAGGCAGCCCTACAGGGGAGGGCAAGATCTGTTCTCAATCATCCCAGAGTGCAGGACACGCAACTATGGGCTCAAGTTAAAGGAAGCCAAATTTATGCTAAATATCAGGAAAAACTTCCTAACTGATAGAGCAGTACAACAACGGAACCAATGACCTTGGAGGTTGCTGGTGAGCGCTCCAACCCTGGAGGCCTTGAAGAGAAATTTAGACAACTCCCCTGGCAGATCTCCTTTGATCTGTGTTCCTGCCTTGAACAAGGGGTTGGACTGGATGGCCTTAGAGGGCCCTTCAATGTCATGATTCTAGGATTCTACCATTGGTGTCTGGAGGATTCTGGGAACTGTAGTACAAGAAACCATAAACCTGCACACTGCTAGAAAACATATTGCAAACACAGGGAGAGAATGAAAGGATTCAGAATTGGTGAGTTTGATAGGAAATGCATGTAAGATAGATGTCCCAGGAGGATACAATTTGTTGTACATGCCCATGTTATTGTTTGTGTATTGTTTTGGGGCTACTTAAGAGCACACATAACACTATCAACAAGAAACATAAAACAAAACAAAAGCAAAGTGTAATAATAATAATAAAGTGAAGACATAGTAGCACCTTGAAAACGGCTATATTTTTAATGTGAGCTTTTGTGGAACGGGACTGCTTCCTCGGATGTAAGAGTGAGAGTACAGCAAAACAGTCATGCGGGCTCTAAGAGAAAGGACTGTGGTTGTCGGTAGGCTCCAGGGCACATCCAGTCAGTGCTGCAACTGCTTTTGTGTGTCACAGTTGTGTGCACGGCAAACGCTCTGTCATGCTTCCCAACAATGTGTGCAGGCAGCCAAAGTGGCCGAATGATCTGAAGAACCCCTACGGTAGCCACCATGTTGGGAAGATTCCTCAAATCTGCCCGCCTGGAACCCTGAGACTTCTTCCCCTGTTGACACCGGCAGTAACAAAACTGTGTAAGAAAATAAGAACCCTGCTAGATGAGGCCAAAGGCTCCTTTCATCTCGCACCGTGGCATAACCCCAGGCCACAACAGGAAGTGCACCGGCAGGACATGAGAACATGTCATGCTTCCCAACAATGTGTGCAGGCAGCCAAAGTGGCCGAATGATCTGAAGAACCCCTACGAATTTATCTAATCCTGTTTTAAAGTTGTGTAAACTGGAAGTGACTCTCTCTTTTTTTTTCCCTGGGCTCACCGAGGTCCCTGGCTTGCAGTGGCTTTTGTTTTATTTCATTTGCTTCAACCCAAAAGGGATCCTTGGGGATATTTCGGTTTTCGCGTTTGTGACTTTTAACGTGCTGTGCATGATCATGTTTTCTAGGCCGCTTCCGGTGTCTTTGTTTTGGAAAGGGAAAGAAGGATGTGCATTCGCTAAAGAATCACAAAAGCAAAGTATTTAATTCAGGATAGTCGAGAATGACCGGCGGGCTCCAGGGCTCCTAAAACGTACCGTGTGGGAGAGTGAGAAGCGCCTCGTTTCATGACACGATGGCTCCCTGGCTTCAGAGATGGGAAAGAGCCAGTATTCCTTATCCAGGAGGATTTTGTGCCTTTCAAAAAGCCTTCTTTGCAAGTTTGCAGTCCCTAGAACATACAGTGGTGCCTCGCCTAACGAGGATAATCCGTTCTAGCAAAATTGCTGTAGAGCGAAATCCTCGTTAAGCAAAATAAAAAATCCCATTGAAACGCATTGAAAACCCGTTCAAAACATTCCACTGGGCTGAAAAACTCACCGTCCAGCAAAGATCCTCCATAGGGGCGGCCATTTTCGGTGCCTGAATAGCAAGGAATCCGTCCAAAAACAGCGGGGAGCCATTTTACACACCAGGTGGCCATTTTGAAACCTCCAATCAGCTGTTTTAAAAACATCGTAATGCGAAGAATCGGTTCCCGAAGCAGGGAATATAGCGGTTTCGTCGTTTAACGAGACAATCATTAAGCGAGGCACCACTGTATTTTGGAGCCCATCACACAGTAGCTAAACATCCGTCAAGCTCAAGTCCACGATGTCCCTGCCTGCCATGTTGCTATTCAGGCAGAATAGCTTATGGAATGTTCTGCAACTCTTGTTCCATTTTTGAGATGTTCATGCTGTTGTTTCCATAGCATGTGGTAAAAAACCTGGTGAGTCATGGTCAGGTCTTATGGCCTGCAAGCCATAAACGGCTTGCTCCTTGTCCTTCTAAAATGACAGCTTCTGGCCCTGTCTGCTTAAGAAGGATGGTCAAGGTAGGTTTGATCAGGTTTCCGGATGATATATTCAGACCGTTTTTCTCACGGCTACTCCTGGTCTTTCTGACAGTCCTCACAGCGCAACCAGGCGCCTTAACGCCTGGACAGTGAACTCTGATGGAAGGACAATATGGCTTCATGGTGCACCCTTATATATTTCTTGAAGATGGGCATTTCCTTTACCTCCACAAACTGACAAAAAGACACGTCTCATGCTTTTCTTTTCTCTTCTCGTTGGCTGTGCAGGGCCCCGGTTCTTCTTCCTGTGAACGGCCGCTGAGTTTGGGCTGAGCATCGCCGGACGCTGCCTGGGGTTGGCTTTAGGTGAGTGGCCCTCATTCGTGGCTTATAGTAATCACCCATGTTATTTTCTAAGCACTCACAAATTAGAATTACCTGAGTTATTTCGGTTGTTCTCTGCTCTCTAAGGCAGAGAGGAGCAACCTCCAGAGAAGTGGGCAACCCGGATGGCCAACACCCTCTACCACTTGGAAGGTCACAATGATGCTCCACAATGCTCATCCTTTACCTTTTCCTTCCAAACATGGGAGGGGCACTTTAAAACAAAAAGAAACACCACCCTCTGCACCTTCGCATGGTTCAGAAATAGGTACGATAAAGGTAAAGGTTCCCCTTGACATTTAGTCCAGTCGTGTCCGACTCTAGGACGCGGTGCTCATCCCCGTCTCCAAGCCGTAGAGCCAGCGTTTGTCTGAAGACAGATTCCATGGTCACGTGGCCGGCGCGACTAGACACGGAATGCCGTGACCTTCCCACCAAGGTGGTACCTATTTATCTACTCACATTTTTACATGCTTTCGAACTGCTAGGTTGGCAGGAGCTGGGACAAGCGACGGGAGCTCCCTCCGTCATGTGGATTCGATCTTATGACTGCTGGACCTTGCAGCACAGAGGCTTCTGTGGTTTAACCCACAGCAGAAATACCATTTAAAAAAATAAGAACTGCTGGGGGTCAACCCACTTCCATGGCTTCCAGTCCCTGCTGCAATTTTCTTCATCCTTATTCTACCTATATAGTACACAACACCTTGACAGGGGAAATACCATTTAAAAAAATAAGAACTGCTGGGGGTCAGGGGCTAGTAGGAGACCGTCAAAACATAGTTCTACCTCACAGCCGCACCGGCTGAGGACCCATGAACAAGACCTTCTCAGTGGTTTATCCCAGTCTAAGCAACTCCTTTTTACAAGAAGCCAGCCCTGGGGCCCCTCCTTGGTGACTTTTCATCCACAGGCAAAGAAAAACAATTCACTTCAGGCAGGCTTTTAGTATGCAACGGGCTGCCATGGAAGAGGTTTTATTATAATACGCTGTATTTTTTAAAAGTGCAACATTTAAGAGTTGTCACATTTAATAGCTTTTTCGTATTGTTATTTCCTGGCTGGAATCCTGTTGCACAAGTCAGGCAGCACAGCTCTGATGATATCATCCGCCATGGCCCCGCCGCAGCTCCTTCACGGGAATTGAAAGCTTCCTCTTCTGCTGCTACCATCCCAGCGAGGTTCTGGGGATCCCCAGGGATCCCCTTCACCCTAGGAAGCCCTCAGGAGTAGCGAAATGGGGTGGAGGATGATTTAAAGCTGCAAAAAAAAGAAATGACCCACCTCCATGGCCTCCAGTCCCTGCTGCAATTTTCTTCGTTCTCATTCTGCCTATATAGTACACAACACCTTGACAGGGGCCTGGTTGACTCGGAGGGGAGGGCGATAAGGGGCCCTCATTAGGGCTGGAGAATGGGCCCTCCAGATGAGATGGGGGGCACCTGAAAGTCTTGGGAGAAATTTTCCCCAAAAACCTGGGTTGCCCAAAACCTGGGTCTACCCTCTGGCCAGTTGGTGCTGCAGATGAACGCCAGGTTGGTCCACCACAAACCACCCACCACCACCCCTGGCATGACTGTGGCTGAACGAGGGGCCCCTATATTAACGAGACCTGCGTCCATGACCAGAGTAGGGTGGATCTGTCTTAAGAGTCTTCTGCTTGGGCTCAGCATCAATCCAGATTGGAGGGCCCTGCAGGGAGCAGTTGCTTCCATCCAGAAGGCTTTGATCTTCCTTTCTCCGTGTCCCCAGTTTTGTCATTTTTTTTTTACCTTGCACCGGGCCAAAGTGACAGAACAGGCTCGCTGCTGGAGAACCCACTACAGTGGTGCCTCGCAAGACGAATTTAATTCGTTCTGCGGTTAATGTCGTCTTGCAAAAAAATTGTCTTGCGAAATATAGGAATGTATGGGCAAAAAAAAAAAGTCAGAACAAAGTCACATTTGGTTTACAAAGGGTTTATTAAGTGCTCTTTAAAGCCATCCACATTGTGCAGATGATTTAACCAATTTCAATCAAAAAACTTTAACTTTTTAAACATCATAGAAAAACATTTAAAAATCAGCAAACATGAGGCAGGAACAAAAAAAACGGAAAACATTTGTCTTGCGAAGCACAGCCATAGGAACATTTGTCTTGCGAGTCATCAACCCCATTGCCCAAACCAGGATACCAATAACGCACTGTTTCCATGCGTCCTTGACCTGCCATGTGTGATAGATCATATTTTTGGCTTTTGACGTTGAGTGGGTGTGGGTGTGGCGGTGGCTTCTGCATTGCCTTGACCACCTCTTTTCCTCACAAGGCTGGACTTGGTGGTGCCGGCTGGGTTGGGGGACCCCATTGAGCTGGTCTGCCCCTGGAGACTTAGGGAATCCTAAGGGTTCCCAAACGCTCTTGGTCGATTTCCCAGCGGATGGGGTTGGTCTCCCTGTAGACGGTGAAGGTGGAAAACATGATATTGATAAATCCACATCGCAGCACCCTAACTCCGGCTCGGCGGAGGCTTGGAACGCTTCCGATTTGCGGAAGGTCGGTGTGTGTGTGGGGGGGGGATGATGGAACAAGCCAGAAGGCAGCTGGGGTGGGGGCAGCTCAGTCACAAATCGAGCGGGGTCGAAAAATAGCAAGAACGCCTCGTTGCCGCCTTCTGTGACGCAGCGAGGAAGGCAGAAAGGTCTTGTTCTGCCTCTGCTGTTCCCTCTTTGACCTGCTCTCCCCCTCCAAGGTGTCCTGAGTGATGACAAGCTAGCTGAGCTCTTGTGCAGAACTGTGATCCATTTGTCATGGCCCTTGGGAGGGAAAGGCACTTACATTTCACTTACGACTTGACACCCCAGATGGCCCAGCGTCTTGGGGAGGGGGTTTCCGTGCGCCTGTCTTGTGCAGGCTTCTTGGAATCGCTTTTGAGGGCTGAAGAATGACAACAGAGTCATGGCGCAGAGTGAGTCCTCCCCACCACCCCACTTAAGCCCCTTGACCCTTGCTGTCGGTAGCTGACAAGGGGGCTTGATGGGGTGGATCCAGAAGCCAGCAAATTTTGTATTGTGTTTGGGATTTCCTCTCCCAAAGAGGTCCTTCCTGAGCCCGGATGGACAGGGAAACTACCCACCCATGGGGCTAATCTTCCGCTTTTGGGGGGGGGCAAGGTGCCTCAGCATGTCGGCTGGGCAGCTTCCGACGTTTTTGGAAGCTATAGATGTGGCCTATGGGAGTCCGGCTTCGGGTCTTGAAACAGTCTTGGTGGCTTTGACGGATGACTGAGTCCAGGGGAAAGAGGGAGAACCCAGCTTCCATGGACCTCTCTGCGGGTACTGATCCTGTTAACAACGGTTGGATCTTGGACCAGCTCCACACAATGGGAGGGAAAAAAAGGCATTGTGAGCAACCTCCCTCTTGAATAGATAGAGCAACATGCAGGGAAAACGTTGTATTATAAAGTTTATAAGCCAAGTGTCTGTCTACTTTCCAGCTCTTTTGGGAGGGGTGGACACCCAAAGGACACCCCCCCCAAAAAAAAACCACATTTGAAAAACCCTCATTAATATCAAGGGAAAGGTGGGGATATCAACTCCAACAGCAAACTGACTTAAGTACATAAGAACCTAAGAAGAAGAGCCCTGTGCTGGATCAGGCCAAGGGCCCCTCTAGTCCAGCTCCCTGTATCTCAACAATGACCCCACCAGATGCCTTGAGGAGCACATGAGAGATCACGAGAGACCTGTCTCCTGATCCCCCTTCCCTTCATCTGGCCTTTGGAGAGACCTTCTAAGTCTGGAGACTGTACATCCCAATCATGGCTGGTCACCTGCGATGAACTTTTCCTCCAGGAATATGTCGTGTCCCCTTTGAAAGGCACCTAGACTCCTTAAATACTCATCATCATCATCTCACAAGTCACATTTTTGGGACTACGACTCCCAGAATCCCCCAATCACTTGGCATCAGGCGCCTCCTACCTCCATTGTACACCTCCCCCCAAGCTCCTGTCCCTTGAAGCTGCTGTCATATAAGGTGCAATACTCTCCATGTGTTCGAGGGAATGTGGCAACAAGAAAAAAAGGAGAAACATTACAGTTTTTTTATTGCTGTAGCCCCAGATGCAGGGTTGGCTCATTCCTCCCTCCCACCTCCCAAACAACATTGTGATGTGATGCTCCCCATCACTGCTCAGTCCATGAACTGCCCCAGCCTGTTGTGTGGTCCAGTTGTCCCGTTGGCCCGAAAACACCAACTCATCTCATTTTATATTTAATCAATTTATTTACAGTACCCGTATCCTGCCCTTTCTCATATGACATTAGGGTGGGGTACAACAGACGTTACGAAATAATCCTGTTTTCAGGCTGGTGGTCTGCTCTGAACCAGCTCAGATTTCCTTTTTTAAAAAATGATGTGCTGCAACTATATTTCTCTTTGTAGGTGAAAAACCAAACTGTGGTTTTGTTTTTTTTTTGCATCCTTGTGATCTTCTGCCCCCCCCCCTCCATTTCCCTTATTAGATTCCCTGTCCCTCCAGTGAAGTTTGCAAACAGTTTATTCGTTCTCTAACACAGTCATCCCCAACCTTGGGCCTCCAGATGTTCTTGGACTGCAACTCCAAGAAGTCTTCACCACCACCTCTGCTGGCCAGGATTTCTGGGAGTTGAAGTCAAAAAACATCTGGAGGCCCAAGGTTGGGGACCACTGCTTAACGGATCCCCCTTCATTGATTTCTCTTGTCTTTGGCAGGGGGTTTCAACAGGCGGAAAAAGAACCACCAGCCAACCAGCCAATTCAGAAACACACGGACACGCAGAAGGCACGCGATGGCCAGCAACAATACCACCAGCATAGCCCAAGCGAGGAAACTGGTAGAACAGCTCAAAATGGAGGCCAATATTGACAGAATAAAGGTAAAAAGAAGCCCTCTTTTTGTTCGTTCTTAGCTCCAACTGGCATCTTTCGGACGGAAAAGTTAGCCAGTCATGTCGTGTGCTGTCAACTCAAATTTCAAAGGAAGGTGGCCTTTCCTAGGATCCTCTAAGTATTGAGTACTTAGAAGGGGTTCCCCATTCCCTCCTCCTGGGGGCGCTCTGAGGCCACACTGCTTGACCAAGACGGCATAGGTGAAAAGACAGGCATACTCCAGCCAGCTATACTCATACGGGCTCTGGTTGACCTCCCTGGCCTCTCTCCTAGGCAATCCCAGGGAGATTTGAACTCGCCACCCCCTGGTGTTCCGACGGACTGAATTAGAACAGATTCTGGGAAAGTGACTTAATTGGACTGCAATTCTCTTCCCCCTCTCCCCCCACATCATCACCGGCCGGAGAACCCTGCGCGCCGTGGTTGAGAAACTGGAATTCCTACCTAGCACAGAAAATAGATCCAGGATCCTGCTCAGGGCACTGCAGATGTTCCTGCACATCTCCTTTAGTTCAGAAATAGTCATTTTTAGTCAAATCCCTTTTGCCAAAATGTGCAGGCAGGATCTTCCATTTGAGTTGAGTTTGGGCAGTCTTGCTTTGGAAGACTTGAAGCTGAAATCCTCTGGATTTTTTTCATTTTTCCCCCCTGGTCAAACGGCAATACCGGCCGTGATCACATCCCCGTGGCTGGAAATCCAGGAAGCAGGGGGTCCTCCTTTAGCTGGCTTCATGATCAATGCCCGAGTTTCGGTCATGATGACTTCCTCCCTCGCTCAAGCCTCCACCAGCGTGGCTCGGCATACTTCTCCAAGAGGCTTAAGCCAAACGGTGCACATCGAGAATCGGCTTGCTTTTTTGGGGGGGGCGGTGTGTCCCAAGGGATAAGCCCCTGTGATGAAGAGGCAACCTTCAAATGGCGGGGGCGGGGTACTTTCAAACACAGCCCGCACATCACAGACATCTTTACAATTTCCTTGGGAATGAGCGAGAAGGGACAACTAAGTGCCGGGTCTTCCAAAGGAGACCCAATAGGACCTCAAATACTTCTTAAGAAGTCAGTACTTCTTAAGACTGCGCAACGTGCTGTACCATAGGCCGGAGAGACAGTAACTGGCGCATGCCGGGATTTAAGAAATGTGGGCACCTGGTGGATGGGCTACAGTTCCCATTCGCCCCTACTAGCAAGTCCAGTGGTCAAGGATGGGGGGAGTTGTAATCCAGCTTCCTCAGGAGTTCACATTTCCCAGGACTGGAGTCGATGGGAAACGGCAATCCTCATTAGTTGACCACTGGCCAGACGGGTTGTGAATGAATGAATGAATGAATGAATGAATGAATGAATTAATTAATTAATTAATTAATTAATTAATTAATGCAGGCTCCTAGCCATTCCATGCCTGCCCATTTTCCTTCTGTTTCTGAGAACCTCACCCTACATTAATTATTTTGGAGCATTTTGTCGCCATTGTGGAGCTGCATCATCATCCTCTTCCCTTCTTCCTCATGGGGGAGGGAAAGGGGGACCCTTTGGATTACGAGGCAACATTCGTTCCAGGTCAGGATGATTGCAAGGGTGCTCTTCCCCCCCCTTGCAGTTTCTGCAGATCCAGCACCTCCTCTCGGGTTCTCCCGGGCCCTCCTGGCTGCCCTGCTTCTCTCGAGGAGGCAGGGTGAGAGGAGGCAAGCTGGCAAGGGAAAGCCTTCCAACAGCCTGACTTCATCCCGGTGGATCAGGCCGTCACGGCTGGTGGACTCGCCCCGTTTCTACGGCATTCCTCGGGGTGCGGAGGAACAGAGCCCACCACCGCCAATGCCTCACCCGAAGCCCCATCCGTGGGCTTTGTCTGACCCCCGACTCAGCTGCGGGGAAGCGGAGACTAAAGGAAACAAGGGTAGCGAGACCAGAAACACAGGAGGCAGAATGGGAAAGGAGGATTGGAGGTGATCTTCCTTGCCATTTGGGTTCAGCTGCTGAAGTGGAAAAGCAGGGGCCCCGACGTGTAAAAAAAACACCCATGCTCCCCTTCGAAAAAGGGGGTGGTGGAAATATTATCTTGCCTTGAGGGGAGGCACAAGTGGGGGGGGGTGTAAGGAAGGCACCTGAGGTGTAATTTCTGGACTTGGGTTTCAGCTGCTGAAGTGGAAAAGCAGGGCCCCCGATGTGTAAAAAAAAAACCCATGCTCCCCTTCGAA